TATATATATATATATATATATATATATATTTAAAGGTCCTGCAGTATCTTTTCTTTTGGTCATGAGATAACCATACATTTTCTACTCTTTCAGATGAAATATCTACCTGGTTATTTGACTAATAACGAGTAACCAACAGGAGGTACTTGTTTATTAGTCTACTTTTGGCACAATTTATAGTTAATAGATAGTTTGAAGCATAAAGAAACAAGTGAACTTTCAACAGTTTGAGTTCATGATTAGTTTTGGAAAATATTACTAAAGCAAGATATAAGATTAGGACTAATTTTTGAAAACTTAAGAAAAAAGTAAATATATATATATATATATACACACATAAATGAGAAGCTGTAATATAAAATATACTAATACTCAGGATTTGGTAGAGACAGACCTTACTCCAAATAGCTCAGCTTGTAAGCAGTCAATGTCAGAGAATGAAATGTAACTTTTATTTGTAATGAGGTAAAGAAATTTGTTTATATAAGTCAAGTTTGATTTATGCATCCATTAAAATATGTTTTACATTCAGATTATATGGATTAGTATTTAAGGAAAAAATTTATTGTAATAAAAATGGTCCAAATTTAAAAGCTCAAAATAAATGCTTACATGTCCAAGTGTGTGCAAAGAAATACAATTCCACTCCGGTATATAAAGGAGAGAAACTGAGCCCCAAATAATGCAGAGGGATTACTTTGCTTACTTTTATAAACTTAACTTGGTAAAATGTGGATTAACTAAGAATGGTTTATGTAACTTTCAAAAAAAGTATTTAAGTATTTTTATTCTCAATTTCAATATTAAGCATCTTACTTTATGATGTGCAAGTTCAGGACTAGTAGAAACAGGATGTATTGATCACTGCAATGAAAATGGCTTAGTTCACACTGGAGTAACAAAATCATATCTGTATCAAAAATGGCCGATTATTATTGAGTAAACATTTTACTTTTACATCTTTATCAAGGAATTTTTAATACTTTATTTAATTTTGTGCTTTATTTTTTTATACTGAATGTTATCAAGACCACAAATATGATGGATGTGTCTTACTTGTAATAAACAAGGTATTATGTATAAAAAGTTATTTTTAAGTGTACTTGTAGTCATAAATTCGTATATACACTGGCTTTGTGAGAGAAAACAAAAAGGATATATGAAGGAAGAAGAAGGGAATAAAGTTTGGAAAATTCAAAAGTTCACTTTGAGAACTATGTTTATCTGTCCCTGTAATAATCCATCTTGAATATAATTGATACTTGAAAACGTCGATACTCCATAATTAAAGAATTGAGGAAAAACAAGATGATGCCTTTAATGGCAAAACCCTGGTCATGAATAAATTAGGTATTTGTGAAATGTACAATTGTCTTGTATTCCTCAATTCT